TGTACAATGGTGTTCCAAAGGTTTCAGCCAATGGTTCTGTCTTCTGTCAGACCCAATCAGATTCGAGTCAAAACCACTGATCGGTGTGTCAATTTTTGGTCTGGATCTCAATTGTTGTACTTTTTTTAGTTCCTTATTTGTCCTACTTCTTCCGTATTTTGTTTCATGATATTTTGCTGTGATTTAATTGTGTATTTTATTTTATTTTATTTTGTTTATTGTATTTGACAGTTCATCTCAGTTTGAATCTGTTGAATTTTATAATTTATTTGTATTAATTGTTCTCCTGTTTGACATTTCAAACGTAATTGCTTTTGGGCAAGTTTGATCTGTTCTAGATTAATGACAAGCAATTGTCTTTGTAGAAATTTATTCTAAAGAAAATATAAAAGCTTAAAGAACTTTAGAAGGAATAAAAAATATCAAGAAATTAATCTTTAATAATCGAAACTTTTTTTTTTTATAAATTTTCTTTTACATATATCTTCATTGTCTTTTGAAGGAACTGTGCCTAAGGTTATAATCTCTCTATTTGTGTCTATCTCTCTATAATTACAATAGTCTTTACAGTCTTCTGTTGTTAATTATTGGTTTATCTCTTTTATTTGTTGGTCTCGTCGTTCAAGGTAAACACAAAGGGAAAGAGAGGGTTGTCAGTTTTGATAAGTCAATAACAAAATATCAAAATTTAATTATTTATGTTTTAAGCCACGTGAAATGCTTTTGATTTGCTCACTTAAACTTATTCTACATAAGCAAGGCTCTATTATGTTAGCAAGGATAAATGAAGCACCGAATGAAAATCCAGACAATCACCAAGATGAAAGATGCAGCATAAAGCAAATTGTTGTGAGATGAAGAGAGAATAGATGTAAAATAAGAGAAAAGGTAAGAACACAGAGAAAGTCCGTTAGAACTTGTATAGGTTTTTTATTTCTCCAAGAAATGTTGATTTTCAATTGTTATAAAATGTCGAGGTATTTATACTTGTTGTGAACATATATAATCTATATTCATATTACAAGTATATATCAGACTTTACTATCACAAAACAGATATTCATGGCTAGTTGACCAGAATACAGATACAATAGTTGTAATAAATCTTATACTCGCTTCATCTATTCATCTTGAAGAGATTTGATTCTAGTCCAATAATAAATTAAGAGACAACTTAGATCGGTGGTAACCGACTCAGTGATTCTTGTTATTCAGACCTTATCATGATGGATAAACTATTGAGATCAACAATGCTTGATCCAATTTGGCGTGGCAATGAAAAAGACAAGAAATAATTTCTTACATTGTGCTATCTCAGATCAAATCCTATCCGATTGGCTGAAGCAAGTATATTTCTAAGACATGTCCATTGACAGTCTATTTCTGATCCATATAAACTAAAGTAGTTCCATTTCGATTTCTTCAATAAGAAGGTTAGTTTATCCGACCTTAAAGATATAAATACCTAAAGAATAAATATTTAAAAAACAGCATGATAGTTTTGGGATAATAAAGCTCTAATCGACTTTGTTTTTTATTTTTTCTCTTACAACATCACAGCACAAGCCATTGCTAACAATCGTGGTTCTGACAAAAAAACATTAAATACTACATCTACTGGCGTGCATATGATAATCAAGCGAAGTATAAAACTCGGGAACCCATTGATTCATCTGATTCTTAGAAGCCTATCAACGTTTACTGGGCTGAAAGAAATGTTTTTAGTGCGGTCACGCAAGGTATAACGCTTCCCGCAACTATAAACAAGCGCAAAGAATACACTCGCAAGAAGTGCAGTAATACAACTCGTAAGCATGTTACTAGATCATAATGAACACAGTAGACTTGTGTTTTTTGCTACTTTCTCCCACTGGGTTTTTTTAGACAATTTCTGATTGACTAACATACTGTTACACGATCTCAAGACGTTACATTCAAACAGCTGAAATCATACACATCTTTAATACTACAAGGATTATTACAGCGATGGTCTAATCTTGGTGGGGAGCAATGTTGTATACATGGCTATCTACGTGACTATGATTTAGGGTGACTCTGCGCCATAATGGGCTGCAGGAATATTTAGGAATAAATTTGATACTGAACCGTGAATCTTTATTCTAAATTATAAAGTCTCTTTATTTACCGTCAGATTGACCATCACTGCAAACTATACAGTAAGGGATCTTTTTATCCCTCATCCGTAAAGACACCAACGATTGTATTTTATAGAATTTATGGAAAGATACTCAGTCCATTCAAGGGATACTATATTCTATAGAAAAAACAACTTTCTTTTGGCTGTTTTCGGTTCTGGTTGTCTTTATCTTGCCTTTAAAATTGAAGTCTTTATCACAAATAGTTTGACTGAATTTCTTTGTCTTCTTTTCTCTATCATCGTTATATCTCATTTAACAGCCTAAACACCATAAGTATAAGGCTGGAAACAAGCGTCTCCCTTTGGTTCTTCACCATATAAACCCAGCCCGTTGGGCTAAACTAAATATGAAGCGGCTAATTGAGCTTGTTTGGCCCAATGTCAACCATCTCCGTAGTCATACAATGGAAACTTCTTTGTCCTCTCCAACATATGACAGTCTTTGGTGAAATACCTTGGATCAAGGTTGGCGAGATCGGTAACAAACTGCGCATCCCTCATACACCGAGGATCAGCTCCCAAAACAACACGATTAAATACGTATCTGAAACCATCTTCAAATCGCATAGCTTTGAGTCCGAGATGTTGAATTGCAAAGCAGCTAGCATTGTTAGTCAATCACTTACTACAGGCTCTGTTTTGTTCACCTTTCCTCCTGGTACTTTTGTCGATCATATTGCGGCTTATAAAGCGATTCAGGTTACCTTTGGAAAAGTTGAAGGACTTCAACATCTAAGTGGCTACACTCCAAATCCAAACAAACAGGATATGTTGATCGAGATATGATTCGAATCTAAGAGTTCCAAGCAGAAGGCTACAACGACTGGAATTACCGTTAGAGAGCGCACATTTTTGGGCACTCCTACCAGGGAAAGCACGGCCAAAAGCTTTGTTCATGTCACTCTCACTCTGCTTCATGTCCCTACCAGCGAGGAACCGTTGACAGGGCTACAGCAGTCGCTTAAACATTATGGCACCGTTCACCAGATCAAAAAGTTTACGTGCGAAGGTTTCTTTGATGGAAAGATCAGTTTCATCATTGACACACAAACAGCAGCTCAGAATAAAGATGGCAAGGCCATTGAGATTAAGGATTTGACTCGACAACTGTATCTCAGTTACTGGAATAAGCACGCACCAGCCTCTTTTAAGGGAGCTGCACCAATTTGTTACTACTGTCGCCAAGCAGGACATGTTCGTCGCAATTGCTCTACTTTGCAGACACAGGTGTGTTTTGAATGTGGTGATAAGGGTCACACACGACGATTTTTCAAGGCAGACTCAGGTTTGAAAGATGGTTCTACCTTGTTGGCTGAGTATGAAGCAGTCAAGGATAAGGCAGCCCGTCGCAAGGCACAACCAGTCCTTAGAGAGAAACCGTCTGTATCGGTTTTCCGTCCTGATGGATCGTCTCGCCCTCAATGGGCCTCAGATACAGTGGCAGTTCATATGAATCTAAATTCTCCCGTGGTTGTTTCTCAGGATCATCATACAGACGACGAGGAACACATTGTTGTATACACAGCATTATTCATCCCTTCTTACACTAGTTATGTCCTAAAAGACCAAGTATTAATATCATGTATAAATATATCTTTCAATCACAGTTTTATCCGCAGCTTCGATGGATGTCTTCTATCTTAGTTTAAACATGTTAAAGATCAGACCATCACATAATCACAAATTGACATCTGCATCAATACCAATGGTAGACGAGGTCTGTGCCCTGATCATGTTCCCAGTTCTTGTGTATCTTAATCCACTCAACCGATTAGCTAGTGTATACACACTCAGTCCCAAATTAAGGATAATCAATTATCATACAAACAGTATAAATACAATACAAAATATAACCTGTGATGTCTGGGTTGTGAATGAAGATATAATAGAAGATAGAAAGAAAACAAAGAAATACAGTGAGACTGTTCAGTACTTCTTTATTACAAAATAAATTGATTGTTCTCTAAAATATATCTTTTCCAGGTTGTCTTTTATACTACCTGATTTATTGACTAATTATGATTACTGATTATTGATTACTTAACACTTTGACAGCTTGTGCCTGGAAATTGATTATGTAAATTTTTCTTTAATTCTCCTTGTTACCCAAAAAGTACAATTACGGTTTCCTTATTTGTAAATATCCATATTATCCCAGTTAACGTTAGTTATTGTCATTATACAATGCTTACTTTATATTTATGATGTATAGTGCTATAAGTGATTATTCATTTATATGATGAAAGACTATTTATTATATTTTGTATTGAGAGTGCTCAGATCACCATATAACCTTTAATAAAGCAGACTTCTTTTAACCGTTTTGGTTCTAATCGACTTATTGATTTGACCATTTTATTAGTGATTATATCACACACATTGAGGAGGAGATCGAGTCTCGAGGAATGGGGTTGGACTCAACTGAAGGAGAGCGCAACAGTACTGAGCCAGATGCGGCACACAAACCCAGTTGTGATGATCTGACATTAAATAAGTCTTCAATTACATACTAAAATATATCATAATCAATTTACATCAGAAATAGACATAAAAGAACCTCTTGTACGGAATAAGACAATGGATTTTTTAATAGATCAAGACGTATAACCGAAATCCATAATTTACATTATTTAATTAATTTAAAGTAGTCTATGACAATAGAGACTCAGTCATTTGCATGAACTCTACTACTACTTACTCCAACATCTCTTCATGTATAAATATGCTAGAATAATTTGTAGTCAAAAAGAACAACAATAAAATTGTATAGAACAGTCTCAAATTATCTAACTTTGTCTCTACATTATCTTATCATATAACTCTCTATTATCAAAACATCACATGTGCAGTGTTTCAAGGCTCTTCGCGACCATCCTGGTCTGGCTTCTCGTCCTCCTGGTTCACAGCTCTTTGTGAAGTCTCACATTATTCAACAGTCTTTGTCGTCTTCCACAATTTCAACCTGGTTACATCGTAGCTTCATTGCGCTCTGCACCTCTGAACCTAATGTGCCCATTCGTTCACTGGCTTCTTCTCGGGCGTTAGACCTTGGGGTCTCTAGGGATAACATTGCTACCCTCGGCAATTGGGCTTCCTCATCCACCTTTGAACATCATCATCAATGCAATCAGATGGCCAAAGTGGACTTTACAACCACGGTTCTCTCGGATTCTCCGGATCGATTTTATGATGCCAATGACGACTTTGCTCTGGATTAGCATAATGACATTTCCTATTTTGTTCTTCAGATCTAAATATCAACTTTAGCCATTTTTTTTATAAATATCTTTATTCTCTTTGTTGCTTTTCTTTTCTCTTAGGAATTTTTTTATTATACTAAGAGAATTAGAGAAAGTAAGCAAACCATTACCTAATTAACGCAATAAAGCTATCATTAATTACCATTAGATACAGTTCAGTTCTAAAACTAGGGGCGCCCGGTTTTCCAAATTAGGCTATTACCCCATAAACCTCTGCCTACCTGAGTGGGCCCCACACCCGAAATTTCTACTGAAAATGACTAGAGATAAGTTTATCAATGATCAAATTATGGATAGTGTTTTGCATATTGGCCTTGGTTTCTTTTATTTCTTTGTAAAGCCATGTCCAAGTCAAATCATTAAACATTATCAGTAGGAAAAAAAAAGCTATGAATGTTGAATACTTTGGATGCTCTTTCTATCGCGTTCTCTACGTTCTCGAAAACTTCGTGTGCTCTGCTTTTTTCGAATACCTTGTAATGATAATGCGTATTCTTCACTTAGACTTGTGTTTGATTCATTAATATGTTGTAATGAAAGACTAGTACTACTGCCATTTAACTTGCGTAAAGCGCCCATACTGCTTCGTTTCCAGTTCTGGTCTTGATCATACTTATTCACGTTGACAATCATTAAGTTACTCGTAGATGCAGATCGACTTGGTCCATCATCATCTGTGGTGGTAATTCGTTTGATAGGTAAGATATCGCCTTGCTCAGCACCTTCAAAAGCAGGTTTAACCCAATCAGGTGGATCACCTACTGTCATTGTTACTGGATCCTTGAATCCTTCATACTTTTCAAAGATAGTGAAATCAAAATACTTGAATTTGGACTCAATCATCAATAGATCGCGTTCATATTTGTCATTTAGACCTTTTTTGTTGAGTTTGGTGCGCTTTGAGGACTGTGCTGTTAAAGGGGTTTCTTCTAGTAATAATTCTTCTAAATCGTAAGTCAAATCAAAGTTATTTTCAGTGGCTGGCTGGAAGGGTGGCGTGATTTGCTTTGTCTCTAGTTTCGCCCAATGAATAGAGCGAAAGAAAGGATGGCGTACAAGGGCAGCCCAGCCTGCATCACCATAACCTAGTCTCTTATTAGGATTGACTTCTAAGAACTATAAATCTGTGAATCCATTGTTCAATCCTGATTTATGATTACCCCTTGTATCACTGAGAGACATTCACCCGAGACTTGACGATCTTTGGTTGGATAGTTGATATAACCTCTTCGTATTGCAGCCTGTAGATCTTCTGTAGTGTCGCATTCAAATGGTCTCTAATCAACAACAAAGTTAGATTTTTATCAAGGAAGAAAAAAAAAATACTTGACTTACTTTGCGATAGATACATTCATACAGTGTCACTCCTAAGCTCCACCAATCCACTGCTTCGTTATATCCGCCTCCTTTATATACTTCTGGTGCTATTTACATGTACGTATATATACATATGAACAAACCAATTCCTTTCTTTTTGTTTTTTTTTTTTGTTTTTTTTTAAAAAAAATAATAATAATAAAATTATTGTACGCATTTACCAATATAATAACCTGTGCCTGAATTCGAAGTCAAGAGACGATTTGGGTGTAAATAACTGGCAATATTGAAATCAGCTAAATGAACATGACCTTGATCGTCCATCAAAATATTCTGTGGTTTAATATCTCTGTAGGGTTCATGAGTTTGACGATCTCTTTATAGAGACATACCTATGCACCACTCGTTTTGTATGAAGATATTTGACAGCAGCAGCCAATTCAGCAAACCAAAATCGAATGACATCTTCAGAGAAGTACATTCGATGGGTCAAATGAAAGTGTAAATCTCCACCTAGCCTATCCAACATCAATTTCCTTTCACTTGATCTCCATTTATCCTACATCAAATCAGTCACCATGTACATATAATCACAGTCTTGAAAAGCAAATCGTAGTCGACATAAGAATGGGTGATCTAATTGTTCCAAGATGACTCGTTCTCGAATGATATTCCTTGCTGCATCCATACGAATACACTCGTCTTTATGAATATACTTGAGCGCATACAACTGATGGGATTCTCGATGCTCAACAATGCGGACCTAGACATCATTAATAACAACACTTTATCATAAGCTTACCTTGCCAAAAGCACCTCGACCTACAACTCGCATGAGTTTAAAGTGGGATAAGGTGACAGCTATTGAAATGAGTGTTAAATCAAGAATGTTTGAATACCTCTTTCATCTGAGTCATCAGAATGTACATGACTACCCCCTAAGGCAGTCGCAATTAAGCCTGAAAAGAAGCGAATTTTTGTTATATTAAAAGTATTTGATCGAAAAGAAACAAGTCAATAGAACACAACAAGTGTATTCCTATCAACAAAAAAAGGAAAGGAAAGGAAAGGAAAGGAAAGGAAGCGAAGAGGAGACCAAATTATCTTACAGGATTAGACAATGTTATTTTTTTTTTTTTTACTGGACAAATCAAAATTAATTCCCAGACACGCTGCTTACTTTTTTTTTTGGGGGGAACAGAATGAAATATGTCTAATGGCATTCACTCATCAATTGACAGAATACCAGTATTATTGTTTAAGAATACAATGTGAGATATCATTATTATCTGCTTATTATTAGTGAAGTTAGCCATTTGAATAGATTACTGCATTTATTAAATCTATAAAGGCAGCAATGATTAAGTGAATAAGATAAAGCTGCTAATATTATCTTGATATAACAAAGAACAGGCAGATCATTGAAAGATTCCATTCAAGTCCGAGCCATCAACAGGAATTCCGGACTATTTAGATACAAACCCCTTCTTACCAAGTATCGCGTCTTTTCTTTTCTTTTTTTATGAATATCCTTCAGAACCGTATTGATTCATTCCAAAATTATGCTAGTCATTGGCCTCACAAGGATCCGAAATATACAATAGAAACAGTAAAGTGATAGATACTATTTCCTTAAACACCTATTAATAGAACTATAGTTTGCTAAAGCAGGGTTCTATCATGTCCGTAGACAAAGAGCAGCTGCAGATAGTGTTCGATGCTTTATGTGTGATATTGAGCTCAGTCAATGGACCTCAGGTCGTTCACCTTATGCTCGTCATGCAAAAGAGTCACCTTCTTGTCCATGGACCATCCTCCATTATCCAGATACACCAGGTTCAAATAAAGAATTACAGCCTCATACAAAAGTGGATCATGCTCGGCTAGAAACATTTCAACGTCATCATTACTGGCCACCACCTAAAGGCAGACATGGTAGATCTAGAAAATACCCTTCTGCTATCAAGGTAATACAGAGTAGGTTCTGGTACTCCTGAATGACTTACACTGTCCATAGCTGGCAGAAGCAGGGTTTTATTTTGCCCCTACCCGAGAACACACGGCAAGAATCAAATGTCCTTTTTGTCAAGTCATCATCACAGAGCCAGATCAAGAAACCAATCCATGGTAAGCTTTATTTTTTGTTTTTTTCTGTATATATACATATTCAACTTTAATTTATTAGGGAAAAGCACAAAGAACTCAAAAGTGATTGTATCTTCTTTTCAAAAAAGAACAAGCGCGATAGCCATGATTCCGTTGAGGCTCAAGAGAATGAGCAAGCAACACAACATTTGAAAAAAAGACGCACTAAGAATGGATCTCAAATATCAAAAAGTTTTGATTCAGACAGCAGTATGTGGGATATCAATAGGGCTTTTGAATCTACTCCACCTCACATTAAAAAACCGGCAATTACTTTTGGCAAACCTGTAAAAAGACGTCTTTTGCCTTCTGATAAACTAAAACCAACAGTGGATATATTCTCCAATGCATTAGGCCAGTCAGACACAACAAGACAACCTGTAGAAATGAAAAAACAAGAACAATTAGTGCCTTCTCAGCCCTCCATGGATGTCTATGAACCTACTTTACCTAAAAAAGACAAAGGTAAAGGACGTGCTATTGAATCACCCGCAGCCATGACAGCAGCAACCACAGGCCAGAAACGTATCAGTCTTTCGAAATCCAAACCTACTTTTACAACCAACCGCCGTCGCCTTTCATTACATCATGATAATAACGAAGAAGATGATCTTTATTTCTCTGGTACACTCTCGCCTGAAAACAAGCATGTCTTTTTACAATCGACACCTATGCGATCTGGTCAGAATACAGTGAGTGCAGCTGACATTTTTGGTGATTGTCCTTATTCACCTATTTTTGCCTCTCATCATCCTCAAAATAGTACACCTCAGATTGAACGAACACACTCTATGCGTGCCTTTTCACCCCCTAGATCACCTACTCATTCAACGTCTATACCCATTTTAAGCATGCCTCAATTACCATCTGAATTCACGCCTGAACAAAAGAAACTGACTGTAGAGCAATTCTTACAACAGACAATTCAAGGCAACATTCATCGAGTCAAAGAGCGTGGAGCCCAAGTGATTCAAATGATTCAAAAAAAGTCAAATCAACTCAAGATGGAATTATTACAGCAAAAACAAAAACAGTAATAAAAAGAGATGCTATATGTTGTTTATTATGATGAGGGTGGCGTATTTGCACCACCAGAGTCAGTGGCTATATAGAGAAATAAGTTAGTTTTATATTTTAAAAAAAAAATGTCTTTTACTTGGTGAGTCATGTTGGAGATGAGGTGAATAAGGTACAGATTCCACCATCACCGGTCTTTGCATCATAACAGGGGGTGCCCCATTCGCTTGCATCATGTCTGGAGGATAACGCATCATGACAGGACCACCTATAGTGTTGAGATGAGTAGTGATTTAGTGAATAAGCTAGATTACCTTGATATTGATAGATTTGTGGTGGCATTGCTTGTGGCACCATAGGGGATCTCTGTGGAGAAGGGAAGCCTTGAGGGAAAGGAGAACCATCTGTAAAAAGAAAATGAATAACATACGCACACATACATACATATATAGATAGATAAGATAGATTGACTTACGAGGAGATACATTGGTCATTTGTGGACTATAAGCTACAGAGGGTGGTGCCCCACTAGGTGGCATAGGTGCTGAAATAGGCACATTCTGAACAAACTGAGGATAAGGTTGAGGCATACCAGGCACATATTGTGGATAACGATAAGGAGGATAAGCATATGTATAATTAGGCGAAGGATAGCCTGTAAAGATATCTTCTTCATAGACCAATTGACTGAATTGTATACGATATGATTTATGTCCAAATGGCCATGTGGGTCCTACTGCAGTGGGTTTATCCACAAAGCAAGGTGTAAAGGCTTCTGTCATTGTCAAATGAGCATTGGGTTTCTTTTTCTCTTCTGTAACTGTACTGGGCACGAAAGCAGCAGCGGTGGGATTTGGTTTAAATGAAGAGGCCTTGACATTGAATTTGAATGAACTGGCTGTGGTTGTGTTGGGTGAAGGAGGTGCGGTTGGTTTCTTGGCAGGTTCTTTCTTTTTCTCGACTGGATCTGTCGGTTCAACAGGCTTTTTACCTTTAGATAACAAGGGCACTAAATCGGCAGGAATAGGCACATTCAATTTGAAGGATTGATGAAATGCTTTTAATTCTGCTAATCGGCCATCTTTCTCTTTCTTTTGAAGTGCTTGTTTTTTGGCATGTAACTTGTCTTTTTCCATCATAGCAAAGTGTCTGAAAGTCGTCGCAATTTCTGCTTCAATACGTTTAGGTGGAGATGATGCTGTCGGGTTTTCGCCTGATTCACGGCGTGTGGTAGGCAAATGGGCAATGGGAGAGGGGTTGGATCCAGTTGCCTTGGGTAAATCAGATGCTTCTTTCTTTTGCAATTGTTTTCGAAGTGCAGGAGGAACATATTTGTTAGGATTAATGTCACGTACAACAGCACCATACAAGTCTTCTTCATCCATACCGCTGTCATCAATAGCCACACCACGCTCTTCTAGCATATGGACGTTGTTTGTAGTAGACTAATATGAGATGAGTACAGGATAAAATAGAGTCGATTACCTTTTGAATTTCATTGGCTACTCGAATAGCACGCTTTTCACGATCCTTGAAACCAGGAGCAGAACGATTTAAAGGTGTTGTATAGATCTCCTCATCAAAGTCAGTCTTGAGTCCAAACAATTTCTCATTAGCAGCAAACTGATCCCATGAGCCACCTGTATCGTCTTCCAAGAGACCCAAGGCATTAGTCTCGTCTCCTACTGAAGGTGCCCATTTACGCAACTCGCGTTCTTTAATATCTAGTTTTCCACTGATATCTGTGTCTGTCTTGAATGTGTTTCTGTCTTGAGGACTCTGGGTGTTTATATCCATGTCTGCTGCATTCAACTCGACCAAGTCCTTGGAAAAGATCAGAAAGGTGTTTTTGACAGGTGTTGTCTTGTCCATAGGGTCATGCACCTTTTGAGCGAGTTTAAGAGCAATACCCAGGTCACCTTCTGTTGATGCACCATGAAAGATGCCTCTGAATTTGGTGCCATCTTTGACAGTGGCTTCTACAAGTGTCCCCTAATAGAATCCATCAGTGAATGCTGGACTATATTTGCCACTTACAGTCAGACTAGAGAGTAAAAAGAGCATTCGATCGTGCATGAGTTTGACAGTAACAGGATCTTGTGCAAATTCATGATGAGATGACGCGTGGTTACGGTTAGACGTCGTACTATTGTTGTTGTTGTTGTTATTAGTGTTGGACCATTTCTTGTTATTATTGGTAATATTGCCGCGACTAATGAGATGATAAACAAGATGTTGTACAGAATAGACAATTACCTTTTATTCGTATTGTGGCTACCTTCTTGCTTTTTTCCTTGCGACTTGGAGGAAAAAGACATTGAGTCTTATGGGTTAAGGAGTAAAAAAAAAAAAAAAAAAATTAAAAAAGAAGCATATGGACACAAACAAACAAAAAATATAGACTTGAAAAAAAATAGATAAATATATATATATATATATATATACATGTACTTTCTCTCTTTGTTATCTCATAAATACAAACTAAACATGGTCTTTGTTTATTTTATTTATTCAGTTGTTGACTATGCATAGCAAACACATACAATAAGGCCAATGTGTGTTTGAAGCTATTTGATTGGATGAGCACTCATTCCGGTCCGGAAACTGATTATGCTTGAATCCCACATAATCAAGTCTTCCAACTGCATATACAAAAATCCCTCCTTTCTCAACATATCACAGGTAAATCATAATATCCATCCATCAACTTATCTTAACATTCCTTGATTAGTATGCCCCCAAAGTTTGATCCCTCTGAGGTTAAGATTATCTACCTTCGTGCTACTGGGTAAGATAAAAAGAGAGAGAGAGAGAGAGATTAATGTCGATAAGCGATTAACATGGATTAGTGGTGAAGTCGGTGCTTCTTCTGCCCTTGCCCCCAAGATTGGTCCTCTTGGTTTGTCTCCCAAGAAGGTCGGTGAAGATATCGCCAAGGGTACCAAAGACTGGAAGGGTCTCCGTGTCACTGTCCAATTGACCATTCAAAACCGTCAAGCCCAAGTCTCTGTTGTTCCCTCTGCTTCTTCTTTGGTCATCAAGGCTCTTAAGGAACCTGTTCGTGACCGTAAGAAGGAAAAGAACATCAAGCACTCTGGTAACATCTCTCTTGATGATGTGATTGAAATTGCCCGTACTATGCGTTTCAAGTCTTTGGCTCGTGAACTCAAGGGTACTGTCAAGGAAATCCTCGGTACTGCTTTCTCTGTTGGCTGTACTGTTGATGGTCAAAACCCCAAGGACCTTGGTGATGCTATCGATGCTGGTGAAGTTGAAATTCCCGTAAGTTGGTTTTGTTAGAGTGAATGTCAAACTTATGATATGTCCATAGGAAAAATAAGTTTAGGATGGGGCTTTTTGCTTTGGATAGAACAGCTTCTTTTTTCTCTTTACACCCACCCACCCACACACACATCTACGCACTCACACATCTACGCACTCACGCACACATACATACAAAATAATAATAAAAAAAAGGAGACAACATATATATATGTATATTTGTTATTTGTTTGAATGTGAATAGATTTTATGAATACCCATAGCAGATGTCATACAGACAATGATGGCTGCACCAGAGATACTATAAGCATCAGGATATTCATGTAAAATAAAGATACCAAACAAGAAGGCAAACACGACATCATTCATACGCATCAATGTACCTGGGCCAGCAGGAGCCATTTGTAATCTAAGTGAACGGGGGAGGAGAGATATATGAGAAATCAGACTTGTACACATTGTCAAATTTACCCTTGGTTTAAAAAGCATTGACCAACAAAGGCAGTAAGTCCAACCAGCAATAGAATGGCATATTCATACCAACCTTGAGGCATCTTAGGGGTTTGAAACAGAAACATACCTACAGGACTTACTATACCACTCACTAAACCAAAATAGACAACATGGACCAAAAAATGAGCACCTCTACCAATCTTACGTACAGTGACATAAGCAACAGCAGACATCACAGCACCTAACAAAGCACAAAAGACTGCAAACAGTCGTCTCCATTCAGGAATAGCATGGTCTTGTTCACCACCAAATAAAAACTGAGGTTTGGAGACAAGGACAACACCCACCATACAGGCAATTGAACATAGACCATCAAACACACTGAATGCTTCACCTAATACCACAGAAGCTAAAATAGCAGTGAATGCAGGACCTAAAAAGAACACAACTAAACGACAGTTAGTAAATAAAATCTAGTCTAGTCCATGATTACCCGTTGCATCAGCCAAGGGTAATTGAGTGATACTATAGAAAAACAGGCAAAGACCAATAGTGCCTGCTAATCCACGCAGTAATAACCAACGACGAACACTCGCTTTACCCAAAGGATTCACTTTGAGTAAAGCACAACCTAGTATACCGAATAAGGTTTGAATGACTGCTCTAGCAAACACAATCTCAAATGAAGGAAAACTTGTTCCACTCAATTTGACAAACAATGACATGGTAGAGAATCCAAGAGCAGAAAGAGTCATATAAAGTAAGCCTATGATTTCTCTTTTTTTATCATGTTCTTGTCTTGCTGAATCCCTGTTGAGCAAAGGCGTAGCATCATTTGGTAGTGGTCGCTGACTCATAAAGAAAATAAAAGAAAAAGAAAAAGAAAAAATTTTATTATTGGTAAGTACCATTGTCAACAACACGCTTACAGCCATAAGCACTTCTACCAGCATTACAATCAGCATAATGATCACAGCATCTGACACAATAATCAGGGTTGTTAGGCTCAACAAGAGCAACATAGTACTTGTAGCCCCAACAGATAGAGTTAGGAGGAGAACCTCTACCATGATTATCATATTGACCTCCTTCATCTTTTGTACTGAGCTCATAGGCAGCGGGATTCAAACGACCAGTGACTTGAACATAACCAGCAGTCTCGTTCTTAAAGTAGTAAGCAGACTTGATAAGAGTGACAGGTAAAGTAGAAGCACCGGGAGCATTGGCGCTAGGTCGAGTACAGAAAGCAATGGCATTCTTCTCAGAATTAGCAATAGCGTCCACATCAACTTTACCACCATTGGCAGCCTTGTTACCGGGAGAAGGGGGCAACATAAGACAGAAATCAGACTTGCTGGTGATTTGGATGGTTAAGCCATAATTAGTAATATCGTGCGTGGCGGTGGCGGTGGCGGCAGTAGTCGTAGTAGTCGTAGTCGTAGTAGTCGTAGTCGTAGTGGCTTTCTTGGTAGTCGTAGTGGCTTTCTTGGTCGTGGTAGCGGCTTTCTTGGTAGCGACTTTCTTGGTAGCGACTTTCTTGGTAGCGACTTTCTTGGTAGCGACTTTTTTGGTAGCGACTTTCTTGGTAGTTGTCTTCTTTTTAGTAGTGGTAGTCTTCTTTCTGATAGTAGTAGTTTTCTTGGCGATGTTACTAATGCAAAGCTTTTGGCCTATTTTCAAGTTGCTGCATTTAGAATTAACTAAAGAAGAATGATGATGAGTCAATGAACACAATAAAATGCTTTCTTTTTCTTTTTCCTTACTTGAGGAGTTGAGAGACTTTAATTTACTGGTAGAGATACCATTCTTTGAAGCAATGCCAGCACAAGTATCACCAGAAACAACCTTGTAAGATTTTGTACAAGAAGGTGCAGCTTCAACAGTAAGAATTGCAGCCAGACATGCAAAGGCTAAAGCGATGGGTGAACGCATAATTCAATTAAGGACAGTGAATAAGGAAAGAAAAAAGAAAAGAAAAGAAGGAAATGCTCCCAAAGAGATCAAGTAGAAATAAAAAGAAAAAGAGTAATAAGATATTGTTTCTTGTCTAGAGACTCTTTTATAATGGTTGAACCCGAGATGACTAAACTAGTGTAACTTGGCATATCCTTTTTTAGTTTTCTTCACATTGTGTCCTGTGTCGATCTTTCTTTTTTTAAAAAAAGAACAAATGCTTTATCCAACCTCGATCTGTCTTCTTTTTAGGCGTCTGTCTCTATGAGTGAACTATGTCTATTCTACTTTCAAAAAGGTATAGATTGAAATTACTGCAAAAAAAGTCCATTGGTCTGGTCTGCATTGATTTTCTTTTTTTCTCTTTGCGGATGCTGAATATACTTTATGGATAATTTTAACTTCAGGGACTACAAAAATAACCTATAGAAGGCAGCTCCTTGGTACCAAAACCCAAAAATAGAGAGTGAACATGAAGATCAACCACTTCTTTTGGTTGACCAAGTTGGTATCACTTGTCTTGTATTTTCTTGCCTTTCGTTAAACGTGATTCTTTTCGCTTTATTTTTATTTTTACTTTCTTGTCCTAGCTATATTTAACTGTTAAAAGGTTTTTGATCATTATCTTTTTCAAATAAACTTTTTTTTTGTCCTGACCATAGATAAGAATGGCTATAAAAGTAATTCTAATTGGCCAACAAGTTGATATCCTCCCTCCCAAAAAAAAAAAAAAACATAAAGGGTAGTACACAAGACTAGAACTTGATTCTTTTTCTTAAAAGACATACTTTTTAGTTGGTCTTTATGGAATTTTTTTTTCTTAAAGAAAATATCTATATCCATCTGAGACATTATGTATTCAAATTCCTGTCTCTCCTATTTCTATCTTTCTCCTTTTATCTTGTATTTCTCCTTTCTTTTTTTTTTTTTTTTTTTTTTTTTTTTTTGTATTCTGACAACAAGTTAAGAATAGAAGCACAGACATATAAATAAACAGAAGCGCTCTTTTCTGGTAGTCATTTTTCTAAAAAAGTACATTTTATTTCGTATTCGTTTATTAGAACTGAATTCACTCGTGCTAATGTACATGATAAACACATCCAAATCCAGTTGGCTGTGGAATGGGACTAATATTCTTGCATTCACACACTAACGCTTTAGTTCTAAAGGCAATTGAGATCAATACAATGCTATCAAACAATGCCAGTCTCCATGGATCATTTCTTAAAGTGAGCTATGAACATGAAGACAAGTCAAGAGAATGAATATGGAAACACGAGATTGGCTCAAAACTCAGAAGATGAGAAGGTAAAGGAGGCGATCAAAGCTTCTTTTGACAGTTGCAGAGTCATTTTTGAGCTAAAAGAAATGAGGTTGCATAAAGTAGTGGTCATGATAGCACAGAACAGATTTGTTTATCCGAAGCATAAGAAAATCTTGATTTCACTTGTTATGAAGGATCTTTCTTGATTTAGTATTGTCCCAATACTTGATAAAAATAGACATTTTATAAAATGACCATCATATACTAACAGCATTTCATGGCTTATGAACTACTAAAGTGCATTTTGGATTGAACACATTTCACTAACAAACATAGTCTCAAAACTATATATATATATGTTTATACAATCAATTGCTTTTTATAAGATCACCTTGTTCTTATGTCTTTGTCCAAATAAACAAAAGAAAGCTATCATCTCATTCGACTTACTCTTGTAAACATGGCATTGGCTTGAATGAATCTATTTCTTATGGTGTCTATCTTCATTTCATCCTTGTCTAAATAATCCTCTTACTTAAACTCATCTTGATAGAGTCCATACGTATTTCTGTTTATAGCGTCTTGTATGCTGATCGTTTTCTTTTTTCTTTTTCTTTTTGAATAGTAACACACGCCAGATATACGCAATTACCTATATACGCGAGTCCTCTGATAACCGTCTTTAGCAAAATAAATATAAAAAAAAGGAGCTTTGTTTAAATGGTTATGTCACCTTCTTGTCCAATGATATGAATCGTCCCGAGCTGAGTATAAAGTAATCCTACAAAGTGATCATCTTGACTCGGACAATATAAACAAGAGAAAGCCATAGATAGTTGGAAGTATTAAGTAATAAAGAGGCAAATGAGAAATGCTTGAGTGTCTCTTTGACTCGCTATTTGATTGTGCAGAATAAATTATTTTGTTTTCAAGGTGCATTGATCCTATTTAACATTGGCTTGGATGCAGGTGTCGATTAGATACTTTTATAAAAGGAATAGGTAAAACTTTTGGAATCCATTAAGATTTTGATCTTCAAGCCATAAATTGCAAAAAGAAAGAATGCATATGCCTTGAGCCAACTATCCATGGACTCACGCACATTAGGTCTTCTAGTTCAAAGACTCGACTGTGACACACACACACAAGTGGCAGACTATTTGTCAATTGCTTTTTGAAATCAAAGACATTGGTTTCACAGCCAAGTCAATCTCAAGCAATGAACAAGCTATCTTTGGTATGATGTATGGCTGATTTCCTCTCTCAACCTAGAGTTGTATAGCTTAATTTTTTTTTCTTTGAACTTGTATTTCTAGAACTGATGATTAGACGTTTACCTTGAGGTTCTCGCCTTCTAAAACCTACGATAAAACAAAAGCTTTGATTAAAAGAGAAATTCATTTATTGTGTATATAGCATATTCAATATTCTAAAGCATCGTCAATCCAAAATAATGTCTATAGAGCGAGCAAAGATACACACAAAGTGTATATATAATCATACGTGAATAGCATGCAATAGACAAAACAACGACGACAATCTATTTTCCTTTATTTATATCAATTTGATATCAAAATCGTTTGCTTTGATGAGTGAAAGCATATCCTAGGCATAGTCAGCTATAATAATACAAACAGCTGAATCGATTAGATACAAAAAAAATAACTCATAAAAGTATCCTAAGGGTGCTAAATGAAACTAAAAGTTATCTAATAATCACAGAGTATGTATAATCAAAGTACATAGATGTATCTTTACAATTCATCTTTATTCATTTCTATTTGAAAAGCAACAGCATCTACATCAAATCGCTTATGTTGAAATTTGATATCTTTCAACAACAATTCACTTGTTGTCACAAATGCATCAAGGGTATATACACGCGAAGCAGTCATGGAAGTATCCCAAGTTGTTTGACGACGCTTCACATAGTCTAACCAACTGGGATCCAATGGTGTATTTACTGTTGCCATTTTACGTAGCAAGGAGCCAATTTCCTCTGCTGTTGGACGATGTTCAGGCACTGGTTCTAAGCAAGCCAGACAGATCATTTGATAAGCGGATGGAATACCTGGAATGGGTTCAATACGATATTGTTCAGGGGATTGTTCAATCCTTTCAGGCGAAGGAAACAAGACACCTGATATTAATTGCCACATTATAATCCCAAGGCTATACACATCCGATTTCTCTGTGTAAATACCGTGTTGTACTTCAGGTGCAATATAAGGTATTCTACCTACATCAAGCTGTCAATATCTCATGGAGAGAGATATACACACATCACTAACCATAATGTACTTGAGAAGCAGTCAAGACATCAGAAGCTTCATGGGTGGATGTAGAGAAACGAAAATCAACAAGTACATAATCATCTTCTGAGCATAATACGTTCTCTGCATGGATATTCCGATGGCACATACCAATTTCGTCATGTAAATTGGCCAAATTCAGTGCTAGTCTGGCTACAATATGGGCAATAGTATGAAATTGTGTCTTGCATGTATTTTGTATTTGTTGATTGAGGTTATTTGCTGGTGTCAAGATCATCATGAGGTCGCCTGTGGTTTGACAGACTGTCATGCCATGAAACAATAAGGCGACAAATGCTTTTGATTGTACAACGATCTAATACAAGATCAGCAAAAAGAGGGACTTGATAGTGAATTACCTCATTCAGAATTTTCTCATCTACTAGTTTAAGCACTACTGTTCTGGGTTGTGAACCAAACAAGCAATGATCAGGAGCATCATAAGGAAGATAGACTTGAGCACGGTAGACAGCAGAGAATCCACCTGCACCTAGAAAGACAAGATCAGAGAACCATCTCCAGGGATACCATCGCATATATCTCTCAAGTCCACAGGCAAACACAGCCTTTAACGCCTTATGACACTTGGGATGAAAAGAATCCAATAGGCATTTCATATCGTCATTGGTTAATTCTATTATACTTTCAAAGCAGAGTGCTTGTCTCCAAGGTATGATCCAATGCTGTTCTAATGGATCAACAAGCTATGGTTTTATATTTGCCTTACCCAATGATAGTCAAATGGTGTATTATTCTGTTTATAAAGAGCTTTGAATGTGTCATACATCATTACCATACTGTCTAACATGCTTTGCTGGTTTGAAAATCGCTCTAAAAAGCAGAAGTCAAATGCAGCACCATGAGTCTGAATATACTTCAAGATCTCGCTTGTCACTTTATGACCGAGATCAGTTTGAAGTATTTGTTGTTCTAGCTTGTGGTCAGGGTGGTTGCGATTGCGACTCATACTAAAGAAAAACAAAGAGAAAGAAAAGAAAAGAAAGAGTGAAGGAAGATGTCTCGATTTCAAATATACCCTTTGGTTCCATGTACAACCTGAAAAAAAAAAAAATAGACAAAATAGAGAGGATATAAATGACCAGTTATTTGGTACACTTTCTATAATTGATATCCATCTGTCTTAGACTGTTGTTTATGACGAACTCAAAGACCTTTCTTTTTTTTTTATTGCTTTTTCATCATTAAAATCACACGATAACTTTGCTATTCTTTGTTGAATGAGAAGATCTCCGACACGGTCAATTTTTTATTATTATTATTATTATTATTATTGTTTACAAACAAGTGGAATCCATTCTAGAATTTTCTTGTAATTATGTCTTTTGGGCTATTAAATTGTGTAACTGACACTCCTTACAACCATGGAAGCTGATTTAAACTGTTCTTTATAGACACATGTAAACCCAGTGATTTGGTATAGCTTTTTTGGTTTGTACTACTGTTTTATATATTGACGTATTATATCCAATGTCGATCTCGAACATTGGCAAGCACAGCCATTGAATAGGTTCTGTTACACCTCATTTTCACACATAAAAGACTCTTATTTATTTGTTTCCTTTTTTCTTTTTATTTTATTTTATTCTGATATATGTATGTCAACATGAATCAACAAGTAACTATGATCAGTAGCAATAAGATTTGTTATTTCTGTGGTTCAACAAAACATGCTTCCTCAGATTGTCCAATGTACGCATAAAACCAAGAAGGAAATCGTCATCCCTTATGCCCTATGTTGCCTATATGTATCATTCTTTTTTTTTTATTTTTTAATATTGTCGTCATCATTTCCCTATTGTACATAAACTATTACTATTGTTCATCTCTTCTAAATAAACACATAACCCTCTCTCTCTCTTTTCATCTTTTAATGAAAAATTTGTGACTGAAAGCGTAAAACTTTTTTTTTTCTTATTTCTGTCTTTCACAGGCATGATAATTAACCAGACGCGTATGGAACAGACTGAATCCTTGTTTAAATATATTCGTAAAGAAAAAAAGAAAGATGTAATTATATTAAGCAGTGATGAAGAAGACAATAGTGAGTCACTGCCTTCTCCCTTGCCTTCCGCTATCATAGAGGGTAGTCAAAGAGATCCAATTCCGTTGGACGATTCAGACGAAGAGATGACCATGACACCCAATTCAATATCTTTGGGCGAGTTTGAATTATCAGACATGGATGAAGATCCTATATTTCAAACTGATCTTGTCTATGATAGCAAACCAGAATTAAACATTGTCTATCATTCAAAACCATTCGAGTGCATGGTAATAAGATAATTCGGCTCTTGTTCTTTATTGACTCTACAATAGGATTCCATCGAACCAACACCTATACCACCTTTGAATACACCGCCTACGACTGTAAAGACCTATATACCACCCAACATGGATAAGTTTGAATTACTACGCATCATGGAAGTTTATCTTCAGTCAGTGACTGATTTACCTGGTGAAAAACTCGGATCCATGACTACTGTTGAACCTCGCTTTCCAAGACGCACTCGACACTCTGACTATTATCAAAAGATGCAAGACAGTCTACAGTCACAATCGACTCAGTCCACTCTTATTTGTCTTGAACCCAACTATCCTTATGTGCCTAATCGAGCATGGTATAATTCAACATGGGAAGATTGGGCTCAGTTGGATGCAGGTGATATCTTGCATTGTCCATTTACTTCTTCTGAAATTGAGACACTGACTCATTTGGTGGATAAGAATGTGCGCAAGTCAGGCACAAGAAATAAAGGCATGATTGATATATGGCAATATGTAGCTACATTTTTACCAGGCAGAACTGCTAGAGAATGTAAATGGTTCTGGGCTGATTATGCGGAACAACAACATAATTTATTGTTTAGCAGTGCTGTTGTGATAAGACGCCGTAAAGGTATGTCACTTGCTTATGTTTGAGCTTATTGACATACATGATAGATCCTGCTCATCATTTATCAAAGCATCATTTGTTGGGTCAAAGAGGGCAAACAGGAATACGCCATTACAATGCTTTGAGGAAGTTGCATTGGTCAAACATGACAAGGGAGAACACAATCACTGATGGTAGTGGAGATGCAATCACTCTGGCTATTTTTAATGATCCATCCAAAGGGTATATAGAGGGGAAGGGAAGAGAGAGGGAGTTTATTGACTCTAATGGTTTGGCATAGTGTTAGGATTGCTGTTGGATCCTTGTGTGATGAAAATGTTCAATACAATATGCCTGGTAATCTACGCTTATGGGATTCAGACTCAAAGACATGTCTACAACTAAATGGACATCAGACAACCAATGAATCGAGTGGACAGAGTAAGTTTCATTTTGTCTGCAGTCTTTACTAATACTATCAAGGTATCTGGAGAACAGTGACGGATGTAAAAATGTCTAAAGATGAGACACTTATCTTTTCTGCTTCTCATGATGGAAGTGCTAATATTTGGAAATCAAAATCAGGCAAACTGGTATCTACATTGCGTAAGTTGAATCTTGTTTGCCTATGTATACCTGACAAGAGAAAAATGCTAGGCTATCATTGTAAACCAATCAACCAATTGGCTGTCAATTACTCTTCCAACCAAAATGTGTTAGCCACCTGTTCAAACGATGGTACAGCCACTGTTTGGTCTATAGGACAAAATGGTAAAACTGGCTCTGGTGTCATTTGTGAATTAGACATTGATTTCTATTCAGATCCTCATGTGGATTGTATTGAATTTGGACATCATGCATCTGATAATCTCTTGTTTCTTGGTATTAATAATAAGGACATGGATCATCCTGGTTATGTACGTTGTTTGTTTATACTTGTTATATCTCATAATATGAATAGGTAGAAGCTTATGATACAGCAACAGGTGCACCTCGTATGCGATTTGATTCCATGAAGGGATGCGTGTCTACATTGGCTGTCTCTAGTTCAGGAACATGTGTTGTGTCTGGCAATTACAATCGATTTGATAACATGTCTGGGGATGGATTTATTCATTTGCATGATATTCGCCAACAAGAGACAGTGAGCAAATTCTTTTCTGGTCATCCTGATGTGAATGTGGTGGCTATAAGTGCTTGTGAACGTTATATAGCATCTGGCAATGCAGACAAAGAAAAAAGTGAAGTAGTTGTGTTTGATGTGCGTCATTCTAAAAGAGCCATGCACATCTTAAGTCATGATCGTAAGTGATTGTTATTGCTTTTTCTAAAAAAAAAAGGCTAATTTTTTTTTTATAGAATCGTTAGTGGATCAATCCTTGATTGCTCCTGATTCTAGTATTGGCATTGGAGGCTTGTATTGGATGGCAGATAGTCGAACTATTATTACAGGTGGTGGAGATTCTTTAGTCAAAGTTTGGAGTATAGAGGGCCAAACACGACTATTAAGAAGCTATCAGACATCCAATTGCGTCACGAGTTTAACTGTGAATGAAGATACAATGACTATTGCTGCTGGTGTCGCGGGCGCACAAGGTGTTGTACATGTCTGGCAACCTTAACCCGGCTTTTTATACCCTCTCTCTCTTTCTTTCTTTCTTCATGTAAAGGCTAAATATTATATAAAAAAAGGATGCAGATGCCCTGTCCTAACTCCTAATAAAAGAGAAAGATAACTAAGGCTTTCAGGTACGTTCATGGAAGCGGTTAGGACAATAGATAGCAAGTTGTTTTTTTGGTTGTTAAAACAACACTGCTGCGAACAAATAGAATCAATATACGAATTACAAATAAACATCATACTTTATTATCAAACAAAGATATTCATGGCCAAATGACCATGATTTAAAGGCAACATAAACTATGTACAAATCCGTAGACGGAAGAATAAAATCCTACTGGCGTAGAAAGCAGGAATTAAACAAGGGAAGTATTGGGTGCTCTCAAGGTGTCTTCGTCTTCGACAGTCACCTTTCTAGGTAATCGCCTGTAATAGTTTGAAATAGTTATAAGTGTGTAACTGAAGAATAGCAGAGATAAAAGATAATTTATTCAAAATAGAAAGATGAAACTATTTAAGCTCAACATCCCACAGCGAGATGAGACTATAGTAAGAAAGTAGATAAATATAAAATGGATAAAATATAAAGAGAAAGATAAGTATAAAATATAAAATAATGATGTCTGCTTAATTAGGCTCTTGATATTTCTTGAGTCTAGAGACATGTACATTGTAGATTCTTTTGTTGGTACCCTTTCGCTTCAAAGATACAGTAGACTTAGTGTTCACAGCAGATATCTCATATGGACCAGACCAGTCAAATTGTAGTTTTCTTGGTTTCTTGGCAGAGGTAAGAGATTGGTTGAATAACAGTACTTGATCACCAACATGATAAGAGTTTTCTTGAGTATTGTATTCCTTGGATTCGAAATGGTTGTTGACAACATCAAAAGCATTATTAAGCCTGGTTTGTAGCTCATTGGCAAACTTCTTTTCATCAATCAGCTTGTCATCATACTCTTGAATTGTTGTCGTCTTCACCAAAGGGAATCTTGCAGTACGACCATGAACGAGGTAAAATGGAGAAAATCCAGTGCTTGCATGTTGTGTGTTGTTGTAAACAAATTGGATTACTCGAAGGTGTTGGTCCCAGTTTTTCTTAATGACATCTTGATCAGTGTATGTAATGATCATTCTTCTCAGTGTAGCCATAAACCGTTCCACAGTTCCATTTGATTGTGGATGATAGGGAGGAGTATGCAGACCATTTGCATCCAGAGTGGAAACCAACGAAGAGAAGAAGTAGGAAGAGAAAGGCGGACCACCATCCGTAAGTATTTCCACAGGCAGACCATGTCTCAGAATGTATCTTGAGAAAAACACTTGAACAATATCATCTTGAGTCGTTGATGGCACAGAGTAGACTTCTACAAACCGAGTGAAACAATCCATGACAACCAAGATGTATTTGTTGTTGCTTGACGATGCAGGTAAAGGACCAAAGAAATCCAGTGCGACACGATAGAAAGGTAGATCCGAAGAGGTATTGGATAGGTTGTATTGATGCTGCTGCCCACCTTTGATTCGTTGACACAAATCACACTTGCTACAATACTCCTTGATGTCCTGCGACATAGATGACCACCACAATTGTTGCTGCAAAATCTTGGCTTTGGTTTTCTTGTACCCAAAGTGTCCACCGAACTTGGAGGAGTGAAATTGCTTGCAGACAGATTGTGTTTGTGAGGTAGGTACGACTAGACATAAATCCTTGCTGTGGTTGGATTCTGCCTTGTATAGTACGTCCTTGATCATGATAAATGATTTGTGTTGTTCGAGGTTATTGATGATGTCCATGATTGCCGAGTCTTCCTGTTGCAGTTTTGACCAGTCAGTATCTTGAGATATAGCTTGGACAGTAACCACAGAGTGACGAGAGAGAGCATCAGCAGCATGGTTTGCAACACCCGAAACATGGAAGACGTCAAAATAGTAGCTTTGTAAGAACATCATCCAACGCCACACCCGAGCGGAAACATCATCCTTAGCATTTAGAATCCATTGTAAACTAGAGTGATCAGTGAATATAAAAAAGATCTTTCGTTCTAGGAAAGGATGAAAACGCTTGATTCCGAAGATGATTGCTAAACACTCCTGTTCACGTACAGAATACCTTTGTTCATGGATTGTGAGAGCACGCGACGCAAAAGCCAGAGGATAGGGAACATTGTCATGTCTTTGGCACAAAATCACAGCAATACCCGCAGAAGATGCAGCATCAGTATGCAATTCAAAGGTCTTCGTAAAGTCAGGTTGGCGGAGGGTGGGAAGGAGACACAGATCCTTCTTCAGTTGTTCGAACGCAGCAGCTTGTTCAGAACCCCACTGGAAATCAACATTTTTCTTCTTCAACCGGCGCAATGGTTCAGTTTTCACTTGATACTGGCTGATAAAACGTTGATAGACACCCGTCATACCCAGAAACCTTTCCAATTCAGTGAGATTTGTAGGCTGTTGATATTGAATGATAGGTTTGACTTTTTCTGGATTGGCACTGACACCTTGGGAAGACACAATGAAACCAAGATATTCTACTGAATCTAACAGAAATTCAGATTTTGTGAGTTTGATGGATAGATTTGCTTTTTGTAATGCAGTGAGAACTTGATCAATATGCTTCTTGTGCTCTTCTTCAGTACGACTATATATAATGACATCATCTTGATATGCAAAAGTACAGACATAGCGAAACGATCCCAAGACCTTGTCCATCAGTGATTGAAAAAATGCTGGCGAGTTACGCATTCCCATGGGCATAACAGTAAAGACATATGTACCATTAACTGTAACAAGAGCCGTCTTGTCCTTGTCTTCTTGCCTGATTGGGATTTGGAAGTAACCTTGAGCTAGATCAACCTTGCTAAATACTTTCGCTTGTCCCAGAGATTGGAGAATGTTATGCATGTTGGGAAAAGGATAGTTTAAAGGTTTAGTAACACGATTGATGGGAATGTAGTTGCCACAAACACGCATGGAACCATCAGGTTTTTCAACCGGCCGAACTTGTGAACCCCATTGTGAGAACGCAACCTTCTCCAGAAGACCATTATCCACCATTGTTTCCAGTTTTTCATCAATTTGAGCTTGTAGATCAGGATGAAAATTTCTTGGCTTGCAATAGATAGGTGGATGATCACCTGTGTCAATGTAATATTCAATAACATTAGTGACGGAAGGTTTGTCAGGGTTCTTAGCTATGATGCTATCAAATTTGTCCAATATATGTTGAGTGATTTTGTTGCTAGCCGAGTCCAGAGTGCTGATATGAGGTTCCTTGCTAGTGTCAAGAGGAATCTTGATAGTGTTGTTATCAATAACCAGTGAAACAATACCAGCGTCACTATCAATATTGCCTTTGAACTTGCTAATGGTGTTCCAACCAACGATCAATGGGCTGCTGAGACCATCGATGACATGAACCTTGATATCTCGATTGAAGACTGAAATTGTTGCTGTACCACATGTTGTCTTGATATTGTTGTTGACATCCCGATAGCAACATGTTCTTGACTATTCAGTTGTCCATGCAGATGAGTGAAAAGTTCCAATTGAATACCATTGATGTCTGCACCAGTGTCCCACAAAAGAGAAATACGCTTATCCTTTATTAGAATAGTACTACGTGGAAGCTTGTGAGAATTTGATGCAAAATGACTAATATCCACAGAGAAAGATGAAGTTGATTGGGTCTCTGCAGGAACCGAGTTCAACTCTCTCACATGATGAACCTTCTTGTGTTGTTTGTGCTGATAGTTGTTGTTGTGATTGTGCTGTTTGTTCTTGTTGTGATCCACAGTACGGTGCTTTCCACGACACACATCACAAATAGGATTACCATGCTTGTCATAAGCACGCAGCTGCTTGGGTTGAGAATTGTTGTAAGATGATTGCTTCTTGCTGTATGGTTGCCGAGACATGTAGTCAATATCCATAGGATCAGAGCCCGAATTATGCTGTGTAACCATTTCCGGCTCTTCCAAGAGCTTAGCTTGTACTTCCAACTCGATCGCATGATTAATAACATGACTCAAATGATCAAGTTTCATTGAGAATACAAGTGAGGTTAAAGTGAGCTTTGTGTCCCTGGAATTCAACGACTGAATGAAATAGGTGATTTTTGTTTTTTCAGTGTATGCAGTTGTAATCAGACTTAACAGATGTTCCCATTTCGCCGCATGAAGTCGAATGGATTCATTGTGTTGTTGCTTACACGCCTTCAGTTGTTTCAGGAGAAGTCGGTTGTCTTCCTCCTCCGGGATACCAAAACGAGTAATGAGAGCCTCTTTTAGTAGGTCCCAGGATGAAACGATACTTGGTGCAAGTGTGGGAATCCATTGCTGAATTACTAGTGGCATGTAACGAGTCAAGTGAGTTGTGCAACTATCCATAGAGATAACCCCATGAATGCGAGCTTGCTGTTCAAACTGACGAAGCCAGATACGAATGCTGTTGTTAAGATCATACGTGGCCATTGGTACTGATTTGGCACGCTCTTGAATTAGATAAAGTGCAAAATCAGATGGTGCGCCCACCGCTGTTGCAAGAGGTGGTGAAGTTGATGAGCCTGACATGGTGTAAAACGATTCAGGTGCTGTGTGAAAAGAGATGCAAGAAGAAACTGAGCTGACAGTCGATGTGGATTGTCGACGAGAAGAAACAAAAGCTGGATAAGTAGATGAGGTGTCTCTGCGAGAACGCTTTTTGTTGGATGTAATAGAATTGCTGTTTGACCTTTGAATACTGAAATCTTAGGCAGGGAGCCTCACCATGAAATAGTTATAAGTGTGTAACTGAAGAATAGCAGAGATAAAAGATAATTTATTCAAAATAGAAAGGTGAAACTATTTAAGCTCAACAAGTTGAGGCTTATGTAATTTAGGAGTGTGAAATATACTTTATTATTTTCTTATTCTTTTTCTCCAAAAAAACTATTTTCATGGTTCTTTCACATAAAAAACAGACCCATACCATGACCCCCTCAAACACGGGGCGTCGTCAAACTGAAAACACTACAAAGACCTGGTCACAAGTTGCTGCTCGAAACATTGTGTCCTGGCGTAGCCCTTCGCCTAGCACGAACACTCCATCAGCCACTAATTACACAACCTCCTCATCTAACTCTCGATG